TTTATAGCTGAGGTAGAGGAGGAAATTCACTTTGGTGTGAAAAATTGAGGCTTTCCCAACAAAAGTTATGGAAAAGCTACTGAACATAGATTTGTTTTGTTATATGAAAAAAAACAGCAATGTCAGGAGAGCTATTAGATAGCTTATCTCTTTTTCTACCTTGGCACGTGAATACTCCCAGTTCAGCGTGCTGTGTGTCAAATCTATCATCTGATATGTCAGCTACCATTATTCCCACTTTTGTCACCAATTTTGACCAAAGGGTGAAAAATTGCTGTCAATACACTGGGAAAATTATTGCTGAAAAAGAGAAGCCTGTCTTTAGGTGTAAGCCAAGGTGAAAACACAGGAAAACTCTCCTTAGATTAGGTCTTGGCTAAGAGAATATTGATCTGTATGCTGAAAATTGTTGATCCCTGGGAACAGATGACAAATGGTGGCAAAGAAAAAAAATCAAGTCTCTCGAAGGACATTCCAGCTGTACTGTGTTCACTGAAAGTATCTGTTTAGTATTAGTGGAACTTGTTTCTTGTCCCCAGCAGGGATTGAACTTGGCTTCTGCCAAACCTATTTGTTTTTTTGCACAGTTTTCCATTTCAATCTATTTTACGTGTTTGAAGTGTTGGGTTTTATTTTACCCGAGATTCCCAGATTCTTTTCCATTGAATTGTATCACATTTGATGAATAAAAATAATAATTTTGTCACTCAATCCACGACTGTTTGTGGGATACTCCTGTGCGCAATTGGCTGCCATGTTTCGTCAACAAAACACACTGTCACTACACTTTACAGTATATTCTGTGAGCGCTTTGAGACATCTCTAAGACGTGATAAGGTGCTATATCAAATGCAAGGATTATTAATTAGAGCTGCAGTTCACCTACAAAATACAGTCACTAAACTTTACAGTAAAACCCTGTGAAGTGCTTTGAGATATCATCCTTAAGTGAAAGGCACTACATGAAGTGCAAAGATTATTGGGGTCCTGTAGTTCAGGGGTTAGAGCACGCGCCTTGAAAGTGAGACACCTGGGTTCAATTCTAGGCAGGGCGAAACCTTGGGCAAGTTTCCTTACTCCATATGCCTAATAATAATCCTTCCAAAAAACAAAACAATAATAAATTGGTCATTTTTAATCCACGATTGTTTGTGGGACACTGTTGTACGCAATTGGCTGCTGCATTTCGCCCACAAATATACGGTCAATTCACTTTACAGCATATTCTGTGAAGCACTTTGAGACGTCTAGAAGACGTGAAAAGCGCTATATCAAATGCAAGGATTATTATTATTATTATTTAAGATTGAGAAGGGAGAAATTGAGGTGTGTGTTTATTTAGTTGACACGGGGTTTCACAAAGAAACTCTAGAAATCTTTCTGTCATTGTAACTGTTAAGAGTGTTGTATAGTGTTTGGAACCAACTACAGCTGTTCACCTACAAATACAAAGTCACATCACAGTAAAAATCCTGTGAAGCGCTTTGAGACACCTCGATAACATGATAAGGTGCTACATCAAATGCAACGATTATTATTATTATGATGGGAGGTTTTTCTTTCTACATAATGCAGAATGATGATTTAAGCGCAGTGATTCTAAATTGTCACATTAAAATAATCAGCCACTATTATTGATTAATGATTCAGTACTCCAAAAGCAATTATCTTTCCACCAGGTTTTCTCTCTGTTTATTAATTTTAAATGCATATACGGTATAATTTTGTTTAATTTTGACCAGGTGCTTGATATAGATTTAAACAATGCTATTTTGACTGTATACATGTTGCACCAGGAATAATGTGAGAGGATTTTAACCATACAAGTGATGGATCATGGGGACCCCATGCATTCATTTGTGGTTACGTGTTCATGAATTCACATCTCATATGTGGAACTAACTGCAGCTGTAGTCAATTATGAATTGAATGATACAATCCCACCCCCTTTTTAAGTATTCTTTAAAAAGAAGTGGAATATTTGATGAAGAGATGCCTGTGAATGCTGAAAATATTTCTTTGCTTTGGAGGACATCAAGAAGGATCACTCCCATGATGGTTTCACTGGCAGAGGAGAGTGTAGCCAATTGTTCATGTTGTGTCAGTGACAATGATCTTAGACATCAATGTTATGTTGCATTCAAGATGTTTGTCTGGCAATAAGTTTCTCTGTAAATTTAATAATTCTTGCATTTGGTATATCGTTAAAAATGTCTCAAAGCACTTCATAGGATTTACACCAAAGTAAAGTGGCTGTGCATTTGTAAGTAAAGTAAATCTCTTTAATCCCCTGCCCCCACAATGCATGTTGTTCTGCAATTTGTTGTTTTAATGTACAGCTTTGTGTACCATTCAGAACTGAATATAACCATAAGCGCTTTGAGACAGCCCTTTGACATGAAAGGCGCTATATAAATGTAAATTATATTGTAAATACATTGTGTTGTATTGGTCAGGGGATAACTAGAGTTGAATTTCAGGGAGAGGGTGGTATTAGGATTTAAGAAGCTCTGAATGAGGGCTCCAAAGTCTCCGTCTATAAACCTACCAAGTTTTGATAAGTCCCCACCACCAAAAAGCAGTGTGTTTACCGAAAATGAAGAAGTCTTTTGAGTCACCACTGCTAGATTCAGGTCAATGGTAATTATTATATATAAAGCTTGCGTGCATGCATTTGTAGAAGGCACCAAGTGTAAACCATGTGTGAATGGTTTGGGACATCCTCCCGATGTGAAAGGCGCTCTATAAATGTAATTTTGTTGTTGTTGTGAATACACATGTACAGAGAGGTGCCCCTAATGATGTAATTTGCAACCAACCGCAATGTAGCGCTATCCCAGTAGAGTGTCAGCCTCAGCTACAAGCTCACATCCTTACGTGGAGGAGCTTGAACCTACAACCTTCTAACCTAGAGGCCCAGGTAATACCAGCTCAGTCAAGCTGGTACCCAAGACGTATGCTACGTGTCTCAGAATGAGTGTGGCACTAAAACCATGTCCATCCATGACTGCACTCATTTTAAAAAAAAAGGATTAATCAGATTAATTCCTTGTTACAACCCTTTGCTACAACCTATTCGATATTTACAGCAGTGTCAATAACCTCTTCCAGATTTAGTCTCGCCACTGAATATTAGGTAGAACTTCTTCTGAGCCTGAAGGTTTGTGGGTTCAAGCCCCACGTTGGGTCTCTGACCTCCCAAAATACAGACCTAGGCTGACACTTCAGGACAGTGCTGCAATATCAGATATGCCATCCTTCGGATGAGACGTTAAACCGGGGCCCTGTCTGCCTGTTCAGGTGGACATTAAAGATCCCATGGCACTATTCAAAAAGAGAAGGGAGTTTCTCCCAGTGTCCAACAATACCCCAGATAAAATTTCTCCTTCACTTTATGACTGCTTGTGGAACATTGCTGTGGGCAAATTGGCTGCCATATTTATGAACACAATACGGTCATTAATTTGACAGTAAGTCCTGTGAAGCACCCTAAGATGTCCCCCTGACATGAAAAACGCTATGTGAATTGTAAGGATTATTATTTTTAATTCAAGCACTAAAGATCCAGGGAACTCAGTTCATTTCAAATCAAGCTGATTCCCATACATCAATATCGATTTAGAGACACGATTTATGCCATTTCTCCACTAGCTCTCATCATAGACAATATCATATATTCTTAACTCCCCTAATACATTATATGGCATCATTAATCAGAAGCACCTAACACTAACACATTTCCTTACTTGTATCTCTCACAAATGTCTGTCACCCATTTTTCAGGGACCAGTTCTAGCTCTTCTGTATACTATACTCATGAATTCATGTAATTCCAAATTTAAAAAAAAGTACATCTTGTTAAGATACAGTGTAAATCTTGGCCTCTCAAATATGTTCATTATTACCATTGGCAATGATCATATTATAGATAAATAGTTATTTTAAATTTTAAGACAATATATTGCATTTTACATTTATAAAGCAACTTTCGCATTGGGAGGACGTCTCAAAGCGCTTGTCAGTTCTGAATGGGCACAGAAGGTTGTGGGTTTAAGCCCCACGTTGGGATTCAGAACTCAGTCTCGGCTGAAACTCCGAGAGATCACTGCATTTCTGGAAGGATCGTCATTTGATAAAACAGGTCCCATCTGTCTATTCTGATGGATGTTATAAAACTCATGGTACTATTCGAAAAATTGGATCATTCACTTCATGACTCTTTGCTACATTGCTGTGCACAAATTGGTCTCAGCATTTGCCTACACACTTTACAGTAAAATCCTAAGAAAAGATGTTTGGCATGTACTCCTGAAGTGAAAGGTACTATATCAACTGCAAGGGGGAAAGTTACGAGAGGTAAAGATGATGTAGAAAATAGAAGATTTATTTTTTCCCCATAGAGCAGTCAGTAACATTTAATTTTTGCTTGTAGAATTACTCTTTAAAGGATTTTCTCCAAGTTTCCTAATTATAAGTTACAGCCTTGCAGAACAGTTGATGTCTTTAGTTGTCGTCGGGGTAGAATTTTCAACTATATGTTAATTATCATATCACAGAGCCCAATTTTCACCCCCATCTTTCTAATTCACTGTATTGAATAAACAAAAGCCCTGATTGTCCTTTTGTAATATGATTGGTATTTCAGCTTGTGACAAAAGCTATGTAACAGTTGCGGTTAAGTCTTGTGCCATATTTCATTTGTGCTGGCAGCAAACTGGTAGAATATTGGATGAACTTTCTTTGATGCCTACCTCAGTGCTATTGTAGTTCTCATCAAATTCATTTCAAGCAGGTTGAAATCTGCTGCTTGCCTTGGGGAGGTTTTTGTTTTCAAATGAAATCATTGTTGTAGAGTTCTTGGCATTGCTTTGTCAAGCCTCCTGAGTCTGCTTTCACTGAAAACTATCTGTAGAATTCACATTCATCATTTTCCTTTGCAGTACAACAACGGTCAGACCAGCGGACCAAAGCGATTTGACCTCAACGTGATGCCAGCTTGGCAGAGACACATAACTGGCTCGGGTGTAGTTGTGACAGTCGTAGATGATGGTGAGTAAAATTCTCATTTTAAACTCAATAAAATCCGACCTTTTTCTTAAAGTCAGTAACAGGACACAGCTTCTGGATTGCAGCAGCACCTGCTGACATGAACACATCCATTCATAATAATCACTGGCCATTGCCCTTCAGTTTATAGGCCATAACATTTCAGTATTTGTCAAATGGTCTCAACGACCACCGGTCTGGTTCAGTCCCAAAAATAAACACTTGATATCATTGTCACTGCAGCAATAAATTATTATAACAATCTTCTGAAACACACTTCATGATCAGCACTTCCATTCAGCCAAAGGCTGAATCTAAGGCTTTGGAAAATCAATTTTCATTTTGAAATCTAGAATATTTGGGAATTGCAATATTTCATGTTTTATCATACCTGCTAGACAAATATATAGTGGAAAGATATTTCTGTTCAAACATCTTGTATGTATTTTGTATGCTGTTTATTTCACTACCCTGCTCAGCCGTGTAATCCTATCCTTGTTGAATGCTCCCTGTGTCAATTAACTATCTGACTGAACCTTTCATAAAAAATGGAATGGATTTATACGAAAACAAAAATAACAGATGTGCCAATCCCAAAACATGGAATGGAGCATATATTTTCACCATCACAAAATAATCATTGCTCAACTCATTTGATTCGCATAATAGTCCAGTTCTCCCATCAAAGTTCAAGGTCATCTCCACCATCTGCTTTTCCCCCAGATATATTTTTAATTTGTCAACCTGGTTCAGTTGGTCCCTGATGGTTAGGTTTAGGGTTAAGGTTATGAATTTGTCACTTCATGGCTGTTTGTGGGACACTGCTTTGTATCAAATGTAAGAATTATTTTATTATTTTGTGGAGTCCTGCAGCTTAGTGGTTAGAGCGCTCACTCCACAAGCGAGAGGACCTGGGTTTAATTCCCGGCAGGATGAAACAATGGACATGTTTACTTACTCAACACACCTCTGTTTACCTAGCAGCAAATAGGAAACCGGTTGTCAGTCGATTGGCAGATCGCTTTTCCAGGAATAATAATCCCTTCAAAAAATAATTAAAAATAAACAATAACAATAATTTGGTAACTCAATCCACGACTGTTTGTGGGACACTGCTGTGCGCAATTGACTGCCACATTTCGCCCACAAAACATATAGTATGTTATGTGAAGCGCTTTGAGACGTCTAGAAGATTTGATAAGGCGCTACATCAAATGTTATTCTGAGACAACTATTAGGACACAAACATACACATCCCATTATAAGTGCTCACCACCAAGAAGCAGTACATTTACTGACGAGGGGAAAATAATCCATGCTCTGCACTAAAAGGTCTTCAAATTTATCAACCAGAAAGGATAATCTCCTCAATGTTGGTTTCTGAACCCATTGCACCATTCTACAGTCCCATGAAGGTAGGATCTGTGTCTTCATTGGTGTGAGGCACAGTAATGGTACAAGACTAAATTGTTTCCTATTGCACTGATCTACAAAGTCGCAAGAAGTTCAGATGAAGAATACCCTTCAGATCATTTGATCACATCCTTCCAGGATATCAAAGATATTCACCCTCCCAGCTTTCCATCATAAAATCAAGCTATTTTTAATGATTCCAGTGTCTTGGCTTTCCTAGTGACCTGTTTCAGTTATTATTTGCCCTCTGGGTAAGGAAATACTTCCTGGTATTTGTACTGAAATTGCCATTTCAAATCCTAAACATGTGTGCTTTTGTCTGCTGTTTCAATACATCTAAAAGTATTGTTCTGAACTTACCTTCTCAGTCCTATTTAAAACCTTTTCCAACTCAAAAATGTCCTCTCTGAAACATGTCTTGATTTTTGAAAGCTGAAGAGCTCTAGCTTGTCTAATCGTTGCTCGTAGCTCATTCCTTTAACATTGAGGATCAAACTCTTTGCTCTCCTCTGCATCATTGGTCTTCATACTATGGACCAAATATTTATATTTTGGGTTGACAGAGAAGAGTCCCCCACAGCACATCATGGCATATTATGTCTCTTTTAATGAACACTATTTGAAGGCTGCATTGTCAGCTTGATATGATTGATTAGGAGGCAGATGCATTTCAATTTGCCAAAGAAAATGTACTGCATAAAGTGCATTGATTTACTTCACTGTTTTAACAGCTCAATTTTCTTTCCCCTGTACTTGCGAACTTATAAAATATTGGTAGTATATCAATTAACACTCTTTAAAGCTATTACTTCCATCTGCCTGGAAATTTAGAGGGTAAATATAAGTCTACAGTTGGTGTCATATTTAGCTTTAAATGCCTCAAGTTAAAAATTTCTGTCCATTGCTTAATTCTGGTCATCACTTACAGTCTGTTTAACAAAACATGCACTTACATATGACTGGAAATATACTACAAGCATCCCATGCATCTGCTTCCCCAAATTGATCTTCATAAATTTGAAGAATATGACTGTCAGCTTTGCAAATCCACAAATAATAATATAAATCAAAACAGAAGATGGTCTCCTGCAATTTCCTTTTGGTCATAGAATAAGGCACCAGATGTCCTTGGCATGCTGAAGAAGCTTTTCATCTCCTTCAGATTCTTCCAATGTCATAAAAATAAATGTAGCTTCTTTTTTGGAATCTTATTATATAATGTTTAGGTTTCCCACTGACCTGTGATGCCATCTGTGTAGCACTGATTCAGCTCCAGTGAAAGGCCTATTTATTCAGAGAAGGCAATGTTGTTTTAACAAGTGCACATGTGCCCAGAACCATGACTTGTTGGAGAATTGAGCACACAGGAACTGTGTCATTCTATAATATTAAGTTAGTCATTGAAATACATTATTCACTATCATAAAGTGGACTTTGCATTGGATTTTGTATGGTTTTTGTACATTCAAATATAAATGACACTCTTTGTTGCTTCTTAATTTTTTTTTCCCAACGCCATATCCAACCTTATAATCACTTACATCCCTGAGTCTTCTTTGTTAAAACCAAGACTCATCAAACAATCTCCTACTTCTATCTTTGCAAAACTCCTTCATCCTTCTCGAATAATCTGAGGTTTGTAAACCCGAGCTTGGCATTACCTAACCATTCCTTTTTTATTTATTTTGCTCTCATACTTATTTTGTTTCCATTTTGGGAGTGTTTAGCACTATGGTCTTGACCACTTATCTAGTTTCCTCAATTGATATTCACTGTTGTTGTGAAATTTCATTGGTTGGTCATGTTTTTGAGATCTTGCCATGTTCTTACAAGTGCCCTTTCTTCATTACAAGTGCATTCTGCTGTAATATAGGCTAATGCTCCAACATAGTCCTTGGGGTTTGCTGCATTGTTGGAGGTGCCACCATTTGGATGAGACATTAAACCAAGGGTCCCATCTTCCTGTTCAGATGGATGTTAAAGATTCCACAGCACTATTTGAAAAGAGATGGAAGTTTCTCCCAGAGTACTGGCCAACAATCCCACAAATAAATCGATTTTGCCCACAAAATATAAACTCAATTCAGTTAATTATTTATAATACAGCATATTCTAGTAAGCTTTTTGAGCTTTTTGATTTTGAGATAAGGCGCTATATCAAATGCAAGGATTATTATTATTATTCATTTCATGGAGGTTTGTGGGACATTGCTGTGCGCAGATTGGCTACTATATTTACCTACAAAATACAGTCGCTGTATATGCTTTGAGACATCCTCCTGACATGAAAGCCCTTTTACCAAATGTAAGCATTATTATCATTATTATTATGCCAGGTTCCATTAGAAATTAATTCAAGATACAGTAGTCTCAGTCACACTCTAACCACAAAAGAGACTGATGGGATATATTTCTGTTGACATCCTTGAGATATCTTTCATCACTGTGGAAAGTATCCAGAATCCAGTAATGTGAAGTGGATCTTGAGTCAGTGCATATATAAAAAGCGCAGGCAAAGGACATCTTTATTAATTATAGTTATCCTAGCATTTTGAACTTGAAGACATTTTCAATCTTCATCGGTCTCCACGTTATTATTAAAGCCATTCACGTAAATAGGAATTATCTTTGTACAAAAAGATTTCTATTTGACAAATACTTAATTGTTTGGAAAGAGAGAGGAGCCACAGGTCATCTTTAGAGTGATGTGACAGGTGAGTGATCCAGTGACAGAAATATAGAAATTCCAACTTGGGTCTAAATATATTCTATTTATGTAGCATTTTGGAGCATCCCGAATCTGGAAAATTGTTGAAAGCACATTCACCCACAGAATATACATGCATTCCACTTTACAGTATATACTGTGAAACATTTTGAGACATCCTCTTGATGTGAAAGGCATATTAAAATATAAGCATTATTATAATTCTTACAAATTTTAACTTTCAAGCCTTTTTTTCTGTTTATTGAAACTTACCGAAATACAGCTTCAAAATTAAGGCTGTATTCAAGAATTTGCTCCTAGGTGTAACATAGTGTAGTGGAGTCCTGTAGTGTATTGTTTAGAGCACTCACAAGCGAGAGGACTGGATTCGATTCCTAGCAGGGCGAAACATTGGGCAAGATTGCTTACTCCTCACGCCTCTGTTTACCTCGCAGTGAAGAGGAACCTGGATGTTAATCGATTGGCGGAACACTTTTCAGGGGGTAATAATCCCTTTAAAAAAATTTGGTCAATCAATCCACTACTGCTGTTTGCAATTAGCTGCCGCGTTTTGTCCACATAATATACAGTTAATTCACTTTACAATATATTCTGTGAGGCGCTTTGAAACATCTCAAAGATGTGATAAGGCGCTATATCAAGTGCAAGGATTATTATTATTATAAATAGGGTAATTCTGAACCTGAGTGGAATTTCTCCCCATTTATATTTCATGATTTGTACTGTACATTTGCTAACAAATGAAAACGTTTTCCAAATGCTTTACTTATGACTTGTGTTTCTTTAAATATAATGACATAAGATCATTGCACTTCGAAATGTGCAAAGTGGACAGTGCTGAGTAATGGGGTAAAGGATTTCA